TTTATATATATATATATATATATATAATATATATTTTTTTTTCTTTTTTTTTGAGACAGAGCATCGCTCCGTCACGGAGTCTGGAGTACAGTGGCTCCATCGCAGCTCACTGCAACCTCCGCCTCCTGGGTACCAGTGATTCTACTGCTTCAGTCTCCTGATAGCTGGGACTACAGTTGCGTGTCACCATGCCTAGGCTAATTTTTGTATTTTTAGTTAGAGAAGGCATTTCACCATGTTGGCCAGGCTGGTCTTGAACTCCTGACCTCCAGGTGACATCCGCCAGCCTGCCCTACCCAAAATGCTGGATAACACAGGATGAAAGCACCACGACCCGCGCTCCTCCTAGCATTAAGGTATTCTGATCCTGCTTTCTCGTCAATGTTAACAATGATGTCGGCTATGAATCACTCTGCTCTACAACTTAGATTTAAAGAACATTAGGATTAACAAAGTAGCACAAATGTCCATTTATTGCACAGCTTCTAATGCACCTTTAATCTTCTAATCATGCATTATAACCTAGAGGACTGTGCAGCCTCTATGGTTTCCAATCTATTTGACCCACAGAACTTTTTTTTTTCCTGTGGCAAAGAACCTTGATGGGGATTTCTGCCAAACACCAATCTAACCAACATTTCTTAGATATTACGCCAGTGGACCCACACCCCTGTAATCCCAGCACCTTTACGGCTGACCGGCCGAGGCGGTGGTCCAGGTCAGGTTTCGAGACCAGCCTGGCCACTGGCTGTACATCATCTCTATACAAATACAAATCTCGCACAGTGGTGCAGCCAGCTGTAATCCCAGCTACCTTGGGAGGGCTGAGGCAGGGAGAATCCACGAATCCAGGAGAGCAGAGTGTTGAAGTAGCTGAGATTGTCCACTTGCACCTCCAGCCTGGGTGGACAGAGCCCCCGAGGACTGCCATCTCAAAAAAACAAAAAAAAACAGCGCTGGCATGGTCGGCCTCACTCAGGTAAACCTAGCACGTTTTGGGAGGACCAAAGGCAGGAGCGATTACAGGTCAACGAGTGTCAAGACCAGCCTGGCCAATCGCTAGTGATACCGCCGTCTCATCTAAAATCACAAAAATTACCCAGCCTGGCAGGGGTGCCTGTAAATCTCAGCTTACTGGGCAGGCTGAGGCAGGAGATCGCTTGAACCCAGAGCAAGAGGTTGCATGGCACGGACATCCAGCTCACTGGACCTCCAACCTGGGAAGACACTGCTGTCTCAAAAAAAAAAAAAAACAACAACAAAGCGATATACTACAGTTTCCAAGAGAAGTGATTTAATAGTGTCAGAATCTGGAACTGGATACCTGGTAAACAGATACAAAACTATGTAGCACCTCAAGATAACTATAGTAGTTTTATCTTTCTAATGCCATTTTCTCAATTTAAAATCCTATAGATGTGTGAAAATGGGAGTAATTCAAATACATAGGTATACAATTCTAATTACTTGGTACTGAATGTATTAAATACATCCAAGCCAGTTCCAGAGAAATCCGCTGAATTTTGCACCCTTAAGGCTGCTATTACCTGGCCAAGTATGTTGCATGAGAAGTTTAGGGTTTCCAATATCTTCAATCTAGCTTCCTCCTCAGGTCCATCATAAACCCTCCAGATAACCAATGAGCGACTCTCTCCAGCGCTTCAAGTGCCGAACAGTTAGGATCCCCAACCTAAAGATGAAAGAGAAAATATGACGCCAGTCAGTGGGCTCATGCCTGTAATCCCAGCACTTTGGGAGGCTGAGGTGGAGGACTGCTTGAGCCAGGAGCTCGGAGACCAGCTCAAGCAACATAGCAAGATCCTGTTCTCTATAAAATAATAATAAAAACCCAAGGACTCACCTCTTCACAAAAGCCGGCAGTTTCTTGCATAGGTCCTGCGTAAAAGAAGGCGGTGCTCTGGCTCCATGTGGGTCAGGATCAGCTGCAGGACCTCGTCGCAATGGGTGGTAGGTCGAGCTCCATCTCCTTTCCAGTGCAGGGTTTTCTCCAGGATGGGGAACAAATCCAGCAGACACAGGAGCACAGCCTAGGAGGAAGGAATGGAAGGACGCTGCATAGGTCATCCATTTGCATTTATAATACTAATGGACCTCTCTAGAACTCCATTAATCTACATCATCCTTAGGGTCCATACAGAGAATTCTAAGATACTAGTAATCATATATGAAGTGGCATATTACTTTACATTTTCAAACTTTTTCCATTCTTAATCTCCATCCACAGTCTCAAATCAATACATTCTCCTCAGGACCATTCTTTTTATAAATTTATAAAATTATAATTTATAAAATGGGAAAAATGGCAGAGCTGGGACTTAACCCAGATTTTAGGAATCTAAGTCTATTGTTACTATGTCCACTAAGTCTAAGTGACTTAGTGATACATGATATTTACACTTTTTTTTTTTTTTTTTTTTTTTTTTGGTGAGACAGAGTCTCACTCTGTCACCCAGGCTGGAGGACAGTGGTGCAATCTCAGCTCACTGCAACCCTCTGCTTCTCAGGCTCAAGCGATTGTTGTGCCTCAGCCACCTAACTAGTTGGCACTACAGGTGTGCACCACCACGCCTGGCTAACTTTTCTATTTTTCAGTAGAGACAGGGGTTCGCCATGTTGTCCCAGGCCGGTCTCAAACTCCTGGCCTCAGTGATCCACCTGCCTTGGCCTCCCAAAGTGCTTGGGAGTACAGGTGAGAGCCATTGCACTCGGCCCAGTATTTACACATACTTTTAATAAACTGCTTTTAAGCAGAATCTAAGATGTTCCAAATTTGGGTCAAATTTGCCACCTACCTGCTGAAGTTGCAGTGTCTAGCCCCAGGGGTATCAGTCTTTTGGCTTCCCCCGGGCCACACTGGAAGAAAATTATCTTAGGCCACACATAAAATACCTAACACTATGATAGCTGATGAGCTTTAAAAAAAAAATGTCAAAAAAATCTTACAACATTTTAAGAAAGTTTTACAATTGTATTGGGCGTGCATGCAAAGCCATCTTGGGACGCATGCAGGCCGTGGGTTGGACAAGCTTAGGTTTAGATACTTCCTTTTTAACTTTCCTGGGACTCTGGTTTTTCTCTTGGTGTTTTTGGTTTTTTAAAATTTCTTTTCTCCTACCACCCAGAGAATTCTAAGATACTAGTAATCATATATGAAGTGCATATTACTTTACATTTTCAAACTTTTTTCCATTCTTAATCTCCATCTCACAGTCTCAAATCAATACATTCTCCTCAGGACCATTCTTTTTATAAATTTATAAAATTTATAATTTATAAAATGGGAAAAATGGCAGAGCTGGGACTTTAACCCAGATTTTAGGAATCTAAGTCTATTGTTACTATGTCACTAAGTCTAAGTGACTTAGTGATACATGATATTTACACTTTTTTGGTATTCAAATACATAGTATACATTTAATACTTGGTACTGAATGTATTAAATACATCCAAGCAAGTTCTCAAGAGAAAATCTAATCACTGCTCTGCAGATGTTAAATGATGTGCTATGAAGTACTCTGCTCTCAATTAGATTTAAAGAACATTAGGATTAACAAAGTTAAGCAAATGTCTTTATTGCAACACTTCTAAATGACCTTTAATCTTCTAATATGCATTTTAAACCTAGAGAGATGTGCACCCTCTATGGTTTCCCAATCTATTTGACCACAGAATTTTTTTTTTTTCCTGTGGGGCATCAAAGAGTACCTAGATGGGGATTCTGCAAAACACCAATCTAAACCATTCTTAAGATATATAGCCAGGCACAGTGGCCCACACCTGTAATCCCAGCACTTTTAGGAGGCCGAGGCAGGTGGATCACAAGGTCAGGAGGTTCGAGACCAGCCTGGCCAACATGGTGAAACATTCATCTCTACTAAAAATACAAAAAAAATTAGCCAGGCATGGTGACAGGCGCCTGTAATCCCAGCTACTTGGGAGGCTGAGGCAGGAGAATCACGAATCAGGAGGCAGAGGTTGCAGTAGCTGAGATTGTGCCACTGCACTCCAGCCTGGGTGACAGAGCGAGACTCCATCTCAAAAAAAAAAAAAAAACAGGCTGGGCATGGTGGCTCACTCAGGTAATCCTAGCACTTTGGGAGGAGCCAAGGCAGGTGTGGATTACGAGGTCAAGAGTTCAAGACCAGCCTGGCCAACGTAGTGATACCCCGTCTCTACTAAAAATACAAAAAATTAGCCAGGCCTGGCAGTGGTGCCTGTAATCTCAGCTACTTGGGAGGCTGAGGCAGAGAATCGCTTGAACCCAGGAGGCAGAGGTTGCAGTGCACGGAGATCGAGCCACTGGACTCCAACCTGGAAACACTGCTGTCTCAAAAAAAAAAAAAAACAACAACAAAGATATACTACAGTTTCAAAGAGAAGTGATTTAATAGTGTCAGAATCTGGAACTGATACCTGGTAAAAGAGTCAAATATGAGCACCTCAAGATAACTATAGTATAATTTTATCTTTCTAATGCCATTTTCTCAATTAAAATCCTATAGGTGTGTGGAAAATGGGAGTATTCAAATACATAGTATACATTTAATACTTGGTACTGAATGTATTAAATACATCCAAGCAAGTTCTCAGAGAAAATCCGCTGAATTTGCACCTTAAGGCTGCTATTACCTGGGCCAAGTATGGTTGCATGAGAAGTTTTAGGGTTTCCAATATCTTCAATCTAGCTTCCTCCTCAGGTCCATCATAAAACCTCCAGATAACCAATGATGACTCTCTCCAGCCGCTTCAAGTGCCGAACAGTTAGGATCCCCAACCTAAAGATGAAAGAGAAAATATGACGCCAGTTCAGTGGCTCATGCCTGTAATCCCAGCACTTTGGGAGCTGAGGTGGAGGACTGCTTGAGGCCAGGAGCTCGAGACCCAGCTAAGCAACATAGCAAGATCCTGTCTTCTATAAAATAATAATAAAAACCCAAGGACTCACCTCTTCACAAAGCCGGCAGGTTTCTTGCATAGGTCCTGCGTAAAAGAAGGCGGTGCTCTGGCTCCATGTGGGTCAGGATCAGCTGCAGGACCTCGTCCAATGGGTGGTAGGTCGAGCTCCATCCTCCTTCAGTGCAGGGTTTTCTCCAGGATGGGGAACAAATCCAGCAGACACAGGAGCAGCACAGCCTAGGAGGAAGGAATGGAAGGACGCTGCATAGTCATCCATTTGCATTTATAATACTAATGGACCTCTCTAGAACTCCATTAATCTACCATCCTTAGGGTCCTTACCAGAGAATTCTAAGATACTAGTAATCATATATGAAGTGCATATTACTTTACTTTTCAAACTTTTTTTCCATTCTTAATCTCCATCTCACAGTCTCAAATCAATACATTCTCCTCAGGACCATTCTTTTTATAAATTTATAAAATTTATAATTTATAAAACTGGGAAAAATGGCAAGAGCTGGGACTTCAACCCAGATTTTAGGAACTAAGTCTATTGTTACTATGTCACTAAGTGTTAAGTGACTTAGTGATACATGATATTACACTTTTTTTTTTTTTTTTTTTTTTTTGGTGAGACAGAGTCTCACTCTGTCACCCAGGCTGGAGGACAGTGGTGCAATCTCAGCTCACTGCAACCTCTGCTTCTCAGGCTCAAGCGATTGTTGTGCCTCAGCCACCTAACTAGTTGGCACTACAGGTGTGCACCACCACGCCTGGCTAACTTTTCTATTTTTCAGTAGAGACAGGGGTTCGCCATGTTGTCCAGGCCGGTCTCAAACTCCTGGCCTCAAGTGATCCACCTGCCTTGGCCTCCCAAAGTGCTTGGAGTACAGGTGAGAGCCATTGCACTCGGCCAGTATTTACACATACTTTTAATAAAACTGCTTTTAAGCAGAATCTAAGATGTTCCAAATTTGGGTCAAATTTGGCCACCCTACCTGCTGAAGTTGCAGTGTCTAGCCCAGGGGTATTCAGTCTTTTGGCTTCCCCGGGCCACACTGGAAGAATAATTATCTTAGGCCACACATAAAATACACTAACACTAATGATAGCTGATGAGCTTTAAAAAAAAAAATGCAAAAAAAATCTTACAACATTTTAAGAAAGTTTACAAATTTGTATTGGGCTGCATGCAAAGCCATCTTGGGACGCATGCAGGCCGTGGGTTGGACAAGCTTGGTTTAGATACTTCCTTTTAACTTTCCTGGGACCTCTGGTTTTTCTCTTGGTGTTTTGGTTTTTTAAAATTTCTTTTCTCTACCACCTTAAGAACCCTAGCAGTTCTGGCTGTTAACAATCTGGATTCTCAATACCCAGTATTTAAAATACTGTTTAAAAATCAAAAGAGGCTGGGCGCAGTGGCCCATGCCTGTAATCCTAGCATCTTGGGAGGCCAAGGTGGGCGGATCACTTGAGGTCAGGAGGTTTGAGACTAGCCTGGGCAACATGGAGAAACCCCATCTCAGGTAATACAAAAATTAGCTGGGCATGGTGGCACGTGCCTGTAATCCCAGTTGCTAGGGAGGCTGAGGCAGAAGGATCACTTGAACCTGGGAGGCGGAGGTTGCAATGCACCAAGATCCTGCCACTGCACTCTGGCCTGGCTGACACAGTGAGACTCCACCTCAAAAGATAACAGAGCCAGGTCCATGTACCCATAAAAGCCGTTTTACACCCACCTGTACACACACCAGAAGCACCACCTCATCTCAGACTAAAGTAATAGATTTTTCTTCATAACTGGTGTGTCTGGATCCTCTGACTTTGAAGCTAGAAGGTTGCTTGTCGTGAGTAGTGAATACATCTGAGAAGAACAATTTTCCTGCCTTGAAAGTGAGGATGATATCACTCAAAAGCACTGTTACAAGTTAAAAATATCTCAGCACCAAGCAGCGCCTCCCCACATTTCCTCGAGTCTCCACAGATAAGCCAGTGGTTTTCTCCATCTGAGTCAATTGGTATAATTCAGTCTTGGGGCTGGACGTCGTGAACTCACCCGCCTTAATCCCCGCACTTCTGGGAGACTAACGGAGCGCAGATCCAGACCTGAGGAAGTCAGGAGTTCGAGACCAGCCTAGACACAACATGCCAAAATCCCATCTCTACTAAAAATACAAAAAATAGTTGGGCATGGCAATGTTTCGCACTTGTAGTCCCATAACTACTTGGGAGGTAGCTGAGGCACAGATTGGTGTTTGAACCCAGGTGGCAGAGGATTGCAGTGAGCTGAGGTCACATCAACTAGCGCTCCAGCCTGGTGACGGAGCGAGACTCCATCTCGAATAAAAAAAAAAAAAAAAAGCGGGTGGCTCCTGTCTGTAATCCAAGCAACTTTGGGGAGGCTGAGGCGGGTGGATCACGAGTCCGGGATCGAGACCATCCTGGCAATTACGGTGAACCTTGCCCTCTACTAAAAATACAAAAAATTAGCTAGGCGTGGTGCCACGTGCCTGTAGCCCAGCTTACTTGGGAGCTGAGGCAGGAGAATCACCTTGAACCCAGGAGGCAGAGTTGCAGTGAGCCAGAATCGCGCCACTGCTCCTCCAGCCTGCCAACAAAGCGAGACTCTGTCTTTAAAAAAAAAAAAAAAAAAAAGCAAAATTAGCCAGGTGTGGTGGCGCATGCCTCTATATCCCAGCTACTCAGGGGCTGAGGCAGGAGAATTGCTTGAACCAGGAGCGAAGGTTGCCAGTGAGCCAACGAACCGTGCCATTGCACTCAGCCTGGCAATGACAAAACTACATCTCAAAAAAAAAAAGGGTGCAGTGGGTATCAAAATAGGTAACTAACCAGGTTTGGGTGACTTTTAGGAGGCTTTGGGAAGGAGGTGAATATTACCCTTTATGAAGGATGATAAGTGAGAGGTTCTTTAGAGGGAGGAAAGAAACTCCAAAAGACAGAAGAAAACAAGTTATACAAAATTAGAGGTGGAAGCAACCTTGTTCCTTTTTTTGCCTTACTTCCCCTTCTCCGCCTCCCACCTGCTGCCTTTTTAAATTTTTATTTTATTTTATTGATTTTGTT